CAAAAACCCATAATTTGTCTTCAATTTCTCCTGCTTTCTCACTTCTGCAGACACTGAAAGCTCAAATACATCTAGCTCTATCTATCTATACAGCAATGACCTTAATCCATTATCTCCAATCCAGATTTCTGTAACTGTTTCCTAATTGGTGTCCCTGCCTCCCCTATCCATTTGTCACAGCAGAATAGAAATACTGTTCCGACAGACAAAACTAATTGTTTTCATTCTTTGAGCAGTGTTTGCTAGGTTTGGTACAAGTGTTAGAGATGAGACATGTAAAATGCAGTCTCTGCCCTCCAGAATGCATGCCACTTTTTAAACATCTTTAATACTTCCCCGAGGTTAGGCTCATGGATTTGAACCGCAGGCTGTGATCTGGCCTGTGCCTACCTCTCCAGACTCCTCTTCAGTCACACACCCCACCCTCTCCCTGGAGCTCTGTCCTCTTTTACCAGTCATAATTTTGCTACTTAAGGTTTTGAAATAAGACTTCTGTATTTGTATTACCCAGATTTTAAAATCTGTGCCCTTTTAACATATGCTCAGTTCAATTTAGTTTCTCTACACAAGCAAGCAGCCAACATCTGGAGTCCAGTCTTTTCTTCTGAGCTACAGGTTTGTACTTCTAGTTGCCTGAATGACATTTCCACTTGGCTGTCACACAGGTACCTCAAACTCAGTATGTTGAAATTGTTCCTGTCATTTTCTGTCTTCATAGTCTCTGTAAACTGTATTGTCATCACTGTGGTATTTAGGCAACAAACCTGGGAGTTACCCTTAGGAGTTTCTTCTCCCTCACCTTTATATCAAATCAATCACAAATCCCAGTTTAATTTACTTCCTAAATATTTCTCAAGTCTAGTCACCTCGGTCTATTCTCAATTCTGGGGCCTTAATCCAAGTAGGAACTTTGCTTGGCCTGGACTGCTGTAACCTCCTAGGTAGCCCTCCCACAACTGTGCTTTTTCACTGCAGAACACTCTACACATACCTGATCTGGCACCATATGTTTATTATTGTATTCGTCAGCTGGGACTGCTGTACAGAAATGCTGTAGACTAGGTGGCTTAAATAGTAGACATGTGTTTTTTCATAGTTCTGGAGGCTTGAAGTCTGAGATCAGGGTGCCAGCATTGGGTCTGGTGAGAGCTGTCTTATAGGTAGCCACTCCTTTTTTTTTTCCCCCTTAAATGCCCTTTGTTTGTTTTAAGTGTAGTTAACACACAGTGTTATATTAGTTTCAGATATACAGTATGATAATTTAACAGTTCCATATACTATTCAGTGCTCATCAAGATAAGTATACTCTTAATTATTTATTTTTAACATAAGTGTACTCTGAATCCCCGTCCCCTATTTCATTCATTCTCTCACCCACTTCCCCTCTGGTAACAATTTGTTCTCTATAGTTAAGAGTCAGTTTTTTGGTTTTCTTTTATTTTTTTTCCCTTCATTTTCTGCTTGTTTCTTAAATTCTACATTTGAGTGAAATCACAGTATTTGTCTTTCTCTGACTGGTTCTTGCAAGCTCTCTGGTATCTCTTCTTAGAAGAGCATTAATCCCATCCTGAGGACCCCTACCCTCAGGACCTCATCTAATCCTAATTACCTCCCCAAAGCCCCATCTCTGGATTGGGGATTAGGGTTTCAACATGTGAATTTAGGTAGGACACAAACATTCAATCCATAATAACTATATTTTCTTATTTTTTATATTCTTGATGCTCTGGCTTCTGGAGCCTCCCTGACTAGGCAGGCATTGTCCTTTCCAGGGGTAGCCATTTCTTATATAGCAAATAACTTACCCTGGACTGCACCTTTCATATTCAGACTAACCAATCCAGAGCCTATCCTCTAAACCACCTTCTTTTTCTGACTCTTACACTCCAGGAAACAGTATTCTTCTGCTCTAATCATCTCAAGTCCAGGTACCAGACAACTAAAGATAGCCCCTAGACCTTAGAGCCTGCTGAAATTACTTAAATTAGCCAATGCTAAGCCTGCTTGCCCTCCCTTCCCTTGCCTTTCTCTGGGAAACCACGGTAAAGGTTGTCATCCATGCTCTTTCCTTGCTTGTTCTGCCTCCTGACTGACGCTGGTGCTTTCCCATGTGGCCCTGCTTGGCATGGCATGTCACTTCTTAGGAACTGTGAGTAACTGCCTTTTCAGTGGCAGTCATCTCCTGATCTGTTGGCTTCACCATACCTGAAAAATAATAAAACCTGTATTTTAAACACTAACACCACTATGGACTGACTTGTGTCCCCTCAGAATGCATATGTTGAATCTCTAGTTCCCTGTGTGACAATATTTGGAGATGGGGCCTTAAATGGTTATTAGGTTTAAATGAGGTTATGAGGTGGGGTTTTTGTGATGGGACTAGCACCCTTATAAGAAGAGACCAGAGAGCTTCCTCTCCTTCTCCTCCATGTGAGAATACAGTGAGAAGGCAGCCGTCTGTAAGCCAAGAAGAGAAACTTTGCCAAGCACCAAATCTCTGCCATCATCTTGAACTTCCTAGCCTCCAGAACTCTAAGAAATAAATTCTCTTGTTTAAAGTATCCAGTCTAAGGTATTTTGTTGCCACCCAAGCTGATGGAGACTGCCACCTCGCTTAAACATTTTCAGTGGTTTGCCATTACTTTTAAGATAAAATTAAGAAATTCTTTCAGCCTAAAACATTTGCCTGATTGGTTTACTGCTTATCTCCAGCCTCATTTCATATCCTTTCTCTTCATCATTAATTAAGCTTCAGTCACAATGGACATATTTCACTTTTTTAAGTTCCCTTCCTGCAACAGGACCTTTGCACATTATGTTGCCACTGCTTAGGGGTTCTCATCTTCCCCTCAGTCCCTCTTTACCTTACTCATATCTGCATGTTTCAGGACTCAATTTATGTTTCACTTCTTTAAGGAAAATCTTCACGACTCCTTATATGAAGGCCCTTGTTTTTTGATCATGGTACTCTGTACTTTTCCATCATAGCACTTACCATAATTGGAATTAAATATTTATTTGTGCAGTTAACTTTCTAGTGTTTTTCACCCTGGCTAGACTGTAAAGCATGAGGGCAAGGGTTATCTTATCTCCTGCATATAGCATAGTTCGGGGCACATAGTAGGTGGTTAATAGATATTTGTCGAATGAGTGAATAAAAGAGTGACAATAATTATTGTAGCTGCCTTTATAAACTGTATAGATAGACCTATGGATAATATGGAGAAAACAGATCTTTTCATGTCCTATCCTCCAAATACATGCATAGAAGTTCTCCTAAAATGGGTCATTTAAGTACCTCAGTACTACATTGTGGAAAGGCCAAATAATTAGACACATATTTTGCTAACACATGAAAAGTGAAATAAAGAAGATATAAATGCAAAAGATGTTTAATATAAAGCCAGGAGATTGCGGTTCAAAATTTCAAATAGAGGAATCTTCTGTACATCAGAAACCTTGTGGTAGATATTGTGATCCTGTGCCAACTTTTTTGAACATGTGAAAGTGATTAAAGTGAAAAGTTTTGGAGGCAACTTAATGTAGAGGTATGCCCCAGAGTGAGTTTAAAATCTGGCTCTATTACTTATTAGCTCTGTGATCTTAAACAAATTACTTAAATTATCTAAACCTCAGAGTTCCCATCTTGGGATGGAGATAATAGGACCTACCTTGGAATTTTTGTTAAACTTAAATGAGATAATGAATGTAGAACACTTAACTATAAGACCCTGCACATATGCTATTTCATTATTCCAGTAATTTACCAGAATATATTACTTTGTGTAAACATTCTTCCTTCTTCCTAGAATGTATTTCTCTACCACCCCATTTCATTTCCTGCCACCACCTTCTCTGGTTTCTGTGACCCCCTTTTGTTGGAATCTTTATATGTAATCCCATGTTTTTCATTTCCCTCCCTCACTAGACTGTGAGGGCATTGACTGCATCTTGTTTTCATTATATCCTCAGCAACTAACACATTGCCTGGCACATAGTGAATATATTATTAAATAATTAATTAAATGCATATCTAGTGAATAAGTAAATAATATAGGATTGGCTTAAGGATTAGAAATAACCTATCTGCAACATTTACCTTAATGTCTAACTTGTAGTTTAATACATATAGCTATTATTATTATTACTAATAATATTTTTGAGAAACATAGGTTACTTAGATTAACTAAATGACTTGCTGCCATTAATATCCTTTCTTATACATATTAGTGAAAATTTTACCCATCTTAGGTGTTCTAGGAAAAGGGAAAGTGCAAAAGAATATTGATAGGACCCCCAGACCTGTAGACGGTAGACCTCATTCTTTCCTGGAAGTATGAGATCATAGTTTGTGGTACTGAATGAGCTGAGTGGTCCAGTGAGTCAGGTGTCCTACTTAGGTATGTACATTAGGGTAGATAGGTGGATGGACGAGCTTGTTTGTTCAATGACAGTAAACCAAGCCCCATTAAGTAGAGGGCAAGGAAAGGTAAAAGAAAGAGACAGGCCACTCCTGGTTTATAGGTGGCAGTTTTAATAAAAAGAGAGTACCTACATACAAGGTTCATCTTGGGTGGCAGCAATGGGTCCCCCACCTGCCCATCAAAACTTGAAAGTGTATAAAGAGGACTTAATTCAGTTCAACCAGGTATACTATACAAGTGTTTTTCAACACCACATCACTATCTCAAGACTGTCCTTGGAACAGCCTCTGGGAGCAAGAAAGACAAGTGGAAGTTACTCCTCTTCCAAGGATAGGAGGGAGTGAGGAGCTTCCAATTGGCTGGGTCCAGCTCAGAGGTTAACTGACGGTCACATCCTTTCAGTGACCTTCCCCAACACTCAAAGTAATTAGATGTTAAATATATGAAAGTATTAGTAAAAGATATTAGGTAAGAGGTGACTATAATAATCATTCTGATGTTTTATTTTGATTTGTATAATAATTGTACCTCTGCAATATTCAAGTCCTCTTATCTTTTTTTGTTTCTTATAGCTGTTGGATGAACTCCCAATGATTTACAGCTGTTGTATATTTGTGTACTGCATGTAAGTGCCTATGTTTAAAATTCCATTGTTTAATATATTTTAGAATTCATTTTCACCTCATAATGAATTAAGTAATGTAATTAACCCTATTGCATTATACTGGGAGATTGTAATAATGTAAAAGTTTATTACTTCTGTGATCTCCATGTAGAGTATAAGCTGTGGAAAGTTATAGTAATGTTGCTATTAACTTTTATGATCTCAAAACTCTATGGCCAGTTTAGATACTCTTACTAAAATTTTACTTAAAGAATTTTGACTTAATTTGTATAATCTGCATTTCCTTGAGTTATGAATGTAGATAAAAATGTTACATATTATACCATAGAAATAATATTTATGTACTTTGTACCTGTAATTGTGGTAAGTATTATACAAATCCCCTGTAATTCTTTCAGTTGTGCATGATAAATGGGTATTATCCCCATTTTATAGACGATTAAGTGAAGCACAGAGGGATTTAGTAACTGGTCTAAGGATATAAGCAGAACTTGTGCTTAGGTGACTTGCCTAAGGCCATGTAGCTGGTGTCAGAGTTGGAAATTGAACTACAAATTTAATAAGCTTAACTTCTAACCATGCATTTAATTCTATAGCACTAGTGCTTAAAATTTCTCTAAACCCCTTATGTGATGGTTATCTCTTTTCAGTATGATCATTATTACTAGTTCAAGTATATTTTCTTCTTCTTCTTCTTCCCTCTATTTTTTTTTTTTTTTTTTTTTTTTTTTTTTTGTTTTTTTTTTTTTTTTTTTTTTTTTTGTGGAGAAAGTGTGTGCTAGTGGGAGTAGTAGGTGGTTGGGGAGGCAGTGAGAGAGGGAGAGAGAGAGAGAATCCCTGACAAGTCCACACTCAGTATGGAGCCTTATGTGGGGCTTTGTCTCAAGACCCTGAGATCATGACCTGAGCTGACATCACAAGTCCGACACTTAACTGACTGAGCCACCGAGGTACCCCAAGAATGTTTTCGTCTAAAGATATCTAAAAATCAGAATCGTGTGATATTATTTAAAGAGCTCATGTGGGGGCACCTGGGTGCCTCAGTTGGTTAAGCATCTGCCTTCGGCTCAGGTCATGATCCCAGGGTCCTGGGATCCAGCCACGCCTTGGGCTCCCTGCTCAGGTTTGCTTCTCTCTCTCTCCCTCTCTCCCTCTGCCCCTCCCCTGCCCTGGTTCTTTCTGTCTCTCTCTGTCAAATAAGTAAATAAAATCTTTAAAAAATAAAATAAAAAAGCTCATCTGAAACTTTTTTGTAAAGGGACAGTAGTAATTATTTTAAGTTTCATGGGCCTGTGATCTCTGTTGCATCTCTTCAACTCTGCTACTGTAGCAGTGAAGCAGCCATAGATAATATGTAAACAAATGAGTTTGACTGTTCCAGTAAAATATTATTTACAAAAACAAGTTTGGGCCTTTGGGCAGTAGTTTGCTGCTCCTGATCTAGAAAAGTACTTTCAGGTGAGCTTTTTAAAAATAAGTCATCAAGTCACAGAATATGAAAGTAAAAGAGACCTTAGAAATCATCCGGGCCAACCATCTTTCTGTAGAGATAAGGAAATAGGAGTTGGGTCCAATTCCTACAGCCAATTAATGAGTAAACTGAGAACTTTCCTGCTGCTTCTACTAAAACATAGGTTCAAAGGTTGGATACCTAACCCATGGTCAAATATTTGTTCTTATTTCCTCATTTACTGAGTATTTGCTAGCCTAGTGATTAGATATGATTAGACGCATGAGAAAAAGATTTTATCCCTGCACACAAAGAGTTCACAGTCTGGTTGAGGAGACCCATAAAGAGACAATTATAATAGAGTGATATTTTCTGTAATAGTGCGCCTTACTCAGGGATGGCTCATTGCAAGATTTAGAAACCTACTCAAGCCAGCTTGACTTAAGAGAGATTTATTTAGAGGACATGAGGAAATTATATGAAACCCAATAAACAGGAAGTACAGCCTGACTACAATTTAAGGGCAGCTTATCTTTCCCACCCTTTTTTCTCCATTCCTTCTCTGCATGGTCTCATCTTTGAATTTGCTTTATTTTTCCATCCATGCAGATCACTTTTCTGCTCATTCATCTTCTTGTTCACTCAGTTTAGCTGCCCAAATATCAGCATCAGACTTTGAATCCATAAAGCTTTATACTTTGACTCCTCACATTTAATTGATTCAGTCTCTGACTCCCAAACTCCCAAGTTTTCAGGAGAGAGCCTCTCTTTGACCCAGTTAAAGCCAGGTGCCTTCTCTTGATTTCTCCAGCCTCTTAGAGGTAGAGCAGTTTCTCTGAGGTGAGAGTTTGGGTGGGAGGAAATGATGGGCATCACTAGACCCAAAGGTGTGTATACAAGTGGTAAGACAGCATTCTATTTTACTAGTTATATATTTTAAAATAAGTTTCTTTCTCTCTTTTTTTAAAGGTTTGAATGTTTCAAGATGAAGAACTCTGTAAACTACCACCTGCTTTTTATCTTAGTTCTATTCAGTTTAATAGTAACCACAGTAAGTCATACTTTGTTTCTAACAGATGAAGCATGTGATGTGGGTTTGAGAATTGTCAGGGTATAGGTAGTACTAGAAATGTGGGAATAGATGAACTGGCACAGAGATAGCATGAACCATTAAGATGACCAAAGATGCAGCCCTATGGAATACTTTTTTTTTTTTAACAGAGATAAAAAAGAGTATACAGTTATGATATTTGACCCTAAAAGTTGCAGTTGATTTGTCTGTTCGCTATTCACAGCCTGTCAGTATGCAAACTTTCTTAATGCCTAAAGATTTCAATAAGAGTCATCACTTTAAATATAAAAACTATATGCATTTAAGGTATAAAACATGATACTTTGATACATAGTGAAATGATTACTCTAGGTAAGCTAATTAACATATCTTCAAACATGTATGTGTGTGAGAGAGCAAGAGATGAGACCCCCTGAAATCTATTCTCTTAGCAAATTGCCACGGTTCAGCCCGTATTAACCATAATCGCCATGCTGTACATGGGAATACTGACATTTGAGGGTCAGGTAGAAGAAATGGAGCCAGCAAAGGAGACCTAGAATAAGTATCAGAGATGTAGGAAAATGAAAGAGCCCAATATCACAGAGTACAAAAAGATTTCCAGAAGAAGTAACAGTGTTAGTTGCCTCTGAGAGCATGAGTAAAATACAGATTGAAGTTTGACCTATAAAAATTTCAGTTAAAAGACCAGGTAACCCTAATAAGGATACTGTCAACAGTACATTGATAGAGGCAGAAATTAGATATCAGTGAACTGAGAAGGTGAATAGGAGGTTGAAAGAACCGGTACACTATTTCTTTATGCTTCTACTCTGCACTGTGTAGTCCTTCATATAAACTACATACTCATTGATCATGAGAGAATCCTTGTGTTTCAGAGGTTAAAGGAAGTCTTATAAAAGAAGAGACTAGGGGACACTTGGGTGGCTCAGTCCGTTAAGCATCTGCCTTGGGCTCAGGTCATGATCTCAGGGTCCTGGGATTGTGCCCCACATCAGGCTTTCTGCTCAGCAGGGAGTCTGCTTCTCCTTCTCAGTTTCCTTCTGTGCTCTCTCCCTCTCTCTGTCTCAAATAAATAAATCTTAAGGGAAAAAAAAAGAGACTAAAGTCTAGAGAGTTTTAGTGACTTGCCTGGCCAACCAAGTTTATGTGGAGAAGTGTGGCAGAGTCAAAACTGGACCACTTTGTAAGTTCAGAACTGATATGATCAGAATTATAGGCTTGGGAGTCAGTCAGATCCGAGTTTGGAGCAACACAGTTACTTAATAACTAGGAACCTCAGACAAGTTACTTAATCTCTCTGTATTAATTTCCTCGTCTATAAAATGAAGATAATAATAGCATACATTTTGTATTAGTTGTGAAAATTAATACGTGGCACACAGTAAGAACTCCATAATTCTTTTGCCTTAAAATAGTCTTTAAGAGGCATGTCCTTTTGCATTTCTTCTATTAATAGCAGTAGGAATATGAAACTATACAAAGAGAAGTTAATATCTTGAAACAACACATTTCAGAGATGGAAAGCATTCTTCCTTACTGAGTTTAGAGTTACAGACATATAGGGTCTCATATACATCTTACTATTAAAGTTCTATGGGTGCTTAAAGGAAATAATCTGCTTTTATTGTGTGAGGATAGGAACTTCTGGAATAAGAAATTTTGTAGCCAAATTGTAAAATTACATAAAATTTTTGTGGGGTCAGCACTACATTAAATGAGCATATAGAGATATCTAAGCACAACCTTTGCTGTCAAAGAGATGATTGCCTTGTTGGGGAGAGAAACAAACCATTAAATTATATGACATTTATACGTGGTCAGTGAGGGCACAAAGGAGGGTGAATGGCTGCTTCTGCTGAATGGAGAAAGGACCAGGAAAGTCTTCTAGAAAAAGGGATAGTTTGAGCTGGATCTTGGAAGATGAATGTTGGCCAGCAGGGGAGGATTTCTAAACAAAGTAAAGAGCAGCATATTTAAAGATGTGGAAGCACTATACTTTCTGGAGCCTAGGATGAGAAAGGGAAAAGATGAGAGCAGTGAGGGCAGACAGAAAGTCAGGAGTGAGATCATGCAAAGCTTTGAAATTTGGACTTTGTATTATAAGTGTTCGGAGCCATTTCAGGATTATGATTTGAATTTTCATTCTCTCTACCATGTCATTTTAAAGGCATATACTCCTACAGGGCAATAAATGGCATGCTAAATCTTCAATAGACATTGAACTTAATCACCCAAATGATATTAGAGCCTAAAACTGGGTTTGTGTAATTGGAAATGCATTTAGGTGATGAGTTATGTAACTAGATGAGTGTGTTAGAGGTTTTGGAAGTAAAAAATAGCACAAGAAATTTGTTAAATGCTTTCAGTTATTGAGCATGCATTATATGCTAAATTGTTTCATGTATTTTAGCTTTTATTCCTTACCACTATTACTCCCATTATCCGGATTAGGAAAAAATTAGTCTTTTGGTTAAGTGACTTGCTCAAGGTCTATAGCAAATAAGTGGCAGACTCTGAAATTTATCACCTGTCTCTAAGTCCAGTGTTCTTTCTGTTGTAGAACAAAATGTGTTGTAGACATTGTCGACAGAACCTCTTCACCCCTCATGAGTAACTGTGTACCTTTGCCCTTCCTTGATGCTGATGTAGAAGCCAAGAGGCCAGAGTAATCCACAATAACTGAAAAATTTGTTTACCATGGTAAAGCTAGCACTGGTGGAGACCCACCTGAAGGTGCTAGCCTTTCTGTGGCCCGCCACCTAATCTGATGTTTTATGTGGCTATAGTCAGATCTAAGTAGCAATACTAGGGAAGCAAGAGAGATTTGGGATTTGCAGAATTGTTAGAATAAGTTTTCTTCACCTTCAGTAATGCACTTCATTCACCTGTTTTTCTTTTAATATTTTGTAGGTTTACCTTAAGGTAAAGGAGCCTATATTCCATCAGGTAATTTTAAAAAATTATTACACACATGATTGTTTAACAGTACTTGCCTGCATTGTGTTTCCTTTTCAGGTAAATTATATGCAATACAATTTCTGAAAATAAAATGGTAGATGTCCTATGAAAGTGTTTAAAACAGTTTGCAAACTCAAGTGCTTAAAGGATGCCAATGCCCAGTCCCAGCTGTCTTTAGTAGTCAGTATGCAAGTGTAGCATTGCTCTTATAAGAAAAATCAAAGTATTCATGTACATACACATACAAGGTCCTTTTTATGACATCATTTTCTAGAAAAGATAGACTGAAGATTCCTCGAATATTTCCCTTCTAGTATTTTATGAGTTTTTTAAGGTGGGAGATTATTTACATTGAGGAGAGCAGACATAGGAAACTTTGCTGTAGGAAATAATGATTTAAGTATATCCCATAATGAAACCAGAGGAAAATAAAGTAGCAGACCCCAAACAGAGCCATTGTTAATTGAGTGCTGTCATGTGCCTGGCACTATGCCATTAATTCACAAACTCTGATCTCCCCAGCAGTCCTACAAATTAGGGATTATTGTTCACATTTTAAAGGAAATGAACTCAGAGATACTAAGAATTTGTCCAGCATTTACACAGTTATTAAGGGGCACAGCCAGGATTGTAACCTAGATTTGTTTGACTCCTATCACAATTCTTTTAACAAACTAGAAAACAAACAAACAATAAATAAATAAGGACACATTTCAAGAGTATCAGAAGGCTTGCAGTTTTAGAATATTTTGTGCTTATATAAAAAGTAAGTGTTCCTGTATCTTTTTAAATTTAAGCTAGATAATAATCATCTAACTGAAATCTGTTTCTTAAAATAAATTCCAAAAGCACATTATTGTGCCTTGCTTTTCTACAGGCAAGCCTAAAGTAGATGTTACCAGAGAGAACATCCTCACTTCCTTATTATTTTGACTTGAAGTATGTCATTATGGAATTACCTCTTTATGAAGAAAGATTTATTGACACAGTGTAGAGGGTGAAGTTTACTTGTATTAAGTATACTTCAGCTTTTGTAAATTTCTAATTTGTCTTTATAAAAAAGAAAAATCATAAGAGCAAAAAAACAAAATTTGGAAATTTGGGGTTAATTTTTGTAAGTTTATGACCATCAATTTTCCACTTTGTGTTTTAGACTATTTTACACTGTGTTTATGTAATAAAAGTAACAAACTGTTCATCTAACTTCCCATGCTGCAACTCTCATGTGTTTTTTTTAGTAATAAGTATTTTCTTTTCTGTAGATAGTGGTAAATGTTTGCTACTAGGAAGGAAGGGAGGGAGGATGAAAACTTAGAACTATGGGTTATATATTAGGCCTTCTTAGGAGAGAAGTGAAGAAGTAGAGAAATGGTAGGGTGAAGTAGATAAGTAGTCTGAAGGTAGAAGACAAGTATTCATTTAACAGATGTCCACTGTGTACCTTCTCAGTACCAAATTCTGAGCTCAAAGTTGGAAATAGAGGGACAGTGGAGCAAAAATGTGAATACCTAAAATCAGGCAGACCTGGATACAAATCGAGTGTCTACTTACTAACTGTATACCCTGGACAAGTTACTTACCTTCTTTGAGCTTTGGTTTCCTCATTATTCCACAAACACTTTTTAAGTGCTTTCAGTATGCCAGATGCTGTACTAGGCATAAAAGGGATACTAGTGAATAAAATAACAGCGTCTCTGCTCTTGAGGAGCTCGTTATACTGTACGTGTAAAATTGTATAATAATCTCCTAAGGTTATCTGAGAATTAAAGGAGGTACTGCAGCGGCGCCTGGCTGGCCCAGTCAGTAGAGCATGTGACTTCATCTTGGGGTTGTAAGTTTGAGCCCTATGTTGGGTGTAGAGATGACTTAAAAATAAAATCTTCTAAAAAATAAAAATAAATTTAAAAATAAATGAAATAATGCATATAAAATCCCTACCACATGGTAAGCAGTTAGTAAATGTTAATTAATATTAATAAACCAAGGTAAATAAGACATGATTACTGTTCTCAGGGTCAGGAAGATAGACTTGTAAAAAAAATATTTATAGTATGTAAAAGCACTGCTAATGCAGACAAGGGTGCAGTCTCTCTGCTTACATGACTCAGGATAGGATTACAAGATATAACGGTTGCATATAGGTAAATTATTATTTCCTCTAATATTGAAAAACAAAATAGGGAAGATGGTCTGCTATTGTGATACAGGAGTATTTCTCGCTATTTGTAATGTTTTATTTGAAGATATCTTTGGCCCAAAGTCTAATCTGGAATATCCTTTCCTGTCCCGTTAAGTAATTAGAATTGATTTTCTTCTTTTTAAGAAAGCTCTACACCCAACATGGGCTTGAACTCACCAGCCTGAGATCAAGAGCTACAAGCTCTACCTACTCAGGCAAGCCAGGCACCCCAGAATCAATATATTTTTTTATACTCTATTCCTAATCGGTTTCTGAGTATCATCCTTAAAGAGAACTACTTTTTCTGAGAATCTTTTTGTCTAAGTTTGTAGACTATCACTCTCATTCTTTTATATCACTATTGATATTATGTATGGAAATTTAGAAAAATTATTTTGAAATTTGTAATTGGAAAATTGTTTTGGAATTTGTAATTGGAAAAATTGTTTTGGAATTTACGACTAGATTTACAGTAAGTTTAAAGATCTTAGAAGTAATGGAAAAGGAGGGAAGAGCAATGTTATCTAATATAAAGTAACTCTGGCTTGAGAGTTTGGAATTTCTTACCACTTCCAATTTCTTGAAGTTTGGAATCTCAAACCTTGCCGCTTCGTTATCCATGGACATGCTGTGCCTGTTCTTCAGTTTCCTCACCTATAATGTTTAAAACAAGGAGAGGTTTTATTTCACGAGGATAATATAAAAATACTATATAAGGTAAAGCACAAGGCAATAAATACAGTAATAGTGTGACACTGAAAGTACATATGAAGGTGTAAGATGATGCAGTAAGTTTCTGCCTATGGTAATCACAGAAAGCTTCTGAAAGGAGATATTTGAGTTGGGACTAGACAGATAAGTGGTGGTGATATACAATTAGAAGGAAAGAGTTAGTAAACACTTTAAAAGTATCTGTCACAGCCGGGATGATCGTCTTGCTAACCAGATTAGCTTCCATGAGAGAGAAAATACTGATAACAGTTCTACTTTACTGTATTAAAACCCAAGGTGATCCAGACATCTCCAGAAGAGCCAAATGCTGTTTATTTAATTTGATGGCCTTGCAAAGGATTATACTAAAATCATAAGCCTGCCACATTCAGTAGAAATACTAATGTATCTTAAGAAAGCAACAACAAAAAAAGTATACATGAAAATAGGATAAAAGAACTTTTAAGTCAATGAACCTCTTTAAGCCAATTGATAAATCAGTAATTGAATGTCTCAGATGAGATTTCATCTTTTTTTTTTTTTTAAAGATTTTATTTATTTATTTGTCAGAGAGAGAGAGAGAGAGTGAGAGTGAGCACAGGCAGATAGAGTGGCAGGCAGAGGCAGAGGGAGAAGCAGGCTCCCCGCTGAGCAAGGAGCCTGATGTGGGACTCAATCCCAGGACTCTGGGATCATGACCTGAGCCGAAGGCAGCCGCTCAACCAACTGAGCCACCCAGGCGTCCCGAGATTTCATCTATTATCTCAGAGAGTACTATTGCTTAAATCTTCCTGCCAAAGTAGATGTCTCCTAGAGATAGAGACATGACACATCAGTATTTTGCTACTCTCCCTTCTAATTTAATACACTGTATAAACAATTTGAAAAACAGGAACTTAAGCAGATTTATGTAAATTTATTGTTTTGTTTTTTTTAAAGACTTTATTTATTTGACAGGGAGAGAGAGAGTGCACAAGCAGAGGGAAAAGCAGACTCCCCACTGAGCAAGGAGCCCGATGTGAGGCTTGATGTGAGGCTCCATCTCAGGACCCTGAGATCATGATCTGACCTGAAGGCAGATGCTTAACCAACCGAGCCACCCAGGCACCCCTCTTTTATATAGTTCATATGGATTGACTTACCTATTACCTTACTAAATATCAACAAACCTATATAGAAGTTACCATCTTCATTTTATAGGTGAGATAACTGAGAGTTAGAAAGGTTAAATAATTTGTCCAGTGTTTCTCACGTAGTTACTAGGAGCGCTGAAAATTGAACCCAGGTCTTTTTTATTCCAAAGCCCATATTCCTTCTGTGATATGATGACACTCTTCTAGCAGATTACTTTGCAATTTAGTTTATTATCAAAATGAAAATATTTTAGGTGAAAATTATAAAGAGCAAAAAAGATGTACTCTATTATCTTTTTTATTTAAAAGATGACTAATACTAGAATATGCACAGAAAAAAATTATGAAGGTCATATGACTACCTCTAGCTGCAGGAGAAACTGAGAAATCAAGCTTTTATAAAAGTGGGACATATTGTCGGCCAAATAAAATCAGTCTTCTACAAAGAAAAAAATAAAAGGAAAGATTGGATACTGAGTGGATGACTGGCAGGGTTTGGCCACAGATCCTAGGAGAGAATCAGAATGTATGGGGTGGAGGTACTTGGGGAAAGAAGAAAAGTAATTTGGAAAAGCGTTAGTGTGCTGCCAGGGTATAGGTTCAAACTTATCCATTATTTGATATGTTTAGCATACTCCTTAAGCAATCCATTCCCCTTGACTTCTCTATGGTGATGATTCCTAAATATGTTTCTTCAGCTTAGATTTTTTTCTTCTAAGATTTAGACCCAGATATCTAAGATCTGTTCCCAGAGATATCTACATGGATATCTCACTGACACCTCAAACTTTGAACATATCTAGAAATGAAATCACCATTTTTCTCTCCAGTATTTCTTCTCTTCCTGTATTCCCTAACCCAAGGAAAATGTTACCATGCACCTAACTGCTAAAGTCGTAAACCAGGCCATCATTGACTTTCCCAACTCTTCTAACTGCCATATCAAATTATTATCAGTCCAAGCCCTAAATAGCTCTCTAATCTGTTTCTCTCTATTCCCACTGGTAGTACCCTGATTCAGGCCCATCACTCACCTAGGTTACTGTAATACCTTGCCATTGGTTGGTTTTCCATTGGTCTTGGCTCCCTCTAATTCATTCTCCACCCAGCAAGAGAGGGATATCTTTCTAATACGAGTGATCATGTTGCACTATTGCTGAAACTTCCATTGACTTCCCTTTGTCTGTAAGATAAAGTTTAACTAAACATGACTTGAATAGCTAGACTTGACCTCTGGTTTTACCTTTCTGATTTCATTTTTCCCACGCTTCCCTCCAACAATATATTCTAGACATACTTTTTTTTTCATGCCAGTTTACTTTCTTCTAGTTCCAGTCACACACACACACACACTCTCTCTCTCTCTTTCTTTTTTTTTTAGAGAGCGAGCACATGAACACGGGGTCAGGAGGAGCAGAAGGAGAGGGAGAGGGAGAGAGAGAATCTCAGGCAGGCTCCACACCCAGAGCAGACCCTGACACAAGGGCTTGATCTCAAGACACAAGATCATGACCTGAGACAAAATCAAGAGTCCAACACCTAAATGACTGAGCCACCCAGGCGTCTCTCTTCTAGCTTCTCTTAACAATATTTCGATGGTTATTAATGATGTTTCTGGTACTGTTTCAGTTATAAAATTAAAAATCATATTCTCCATAAAAGTCTTTCTCATCTGCATAAGTCTAGATGGCTTTCGAATGTACTTACAAAGTACTCTGTATAGTCCCTGTCACAGAATTAAATACTACATTTTTAATTGCCTGATTACTTATCTCTTTCCACACTAGATTGTAATTGCTGTGAGGGCAGTCATCATGCCTTCCTTGTTCACCATTAGAACATCATGGCTGCAGTTATGGATTTAATCTGACAACCTCTAATCAGGTTTAATCTAATTCTGTGTTTACTTAGCTCTATAAAGAAATACATGGTAGAGAATACAGCAAGTATAATATTTTCATCTCATCAGGAGATCCAGAGTTATTTATATATACAGATTTTTTTGTCCTCTCATCCACATAAGTTATGTATAGCTGCCAGGGATGAGAGCTAAGTGTAGTGGAGGTCATTATAACACATAGGAGGTACAGCCCCCTTTTCCTACCATTCTTTATGATGAGCACCTTTCATATTGTTCTCATGCAGGCCCCAAGTCTTTAACCTAGGTGCAGTCCTTCACAACCAGAGCAGACATAACATTTTCCATTTATCTTAATTGTGATATTCAAGGCTGGGAAACAGGTCATTCTTAACCAGCCCTGCATCAAGACAATGCCTGATACTAATCCTTTGCTCCACACCATCATATCCCCAGGGCCTAGCACAATGCTCAATAAATATTTGTTGCAGTCTATTGTTATAGAGAGACTACAAGTAGTAGGCAGGAGCCATTTCAAGGCTTTATAAAAGAGTCCACATGAAATATAAAGATATGGGAAGGTTGAAAGGAAAGTGTGGGAAAGTATATATACCATGCAAACACTAAGCATAATTGTGTTATATGTGGATAGTTATTTTATTATAGAACAAAACAGACTTCAAGGGAAAAGCATTTCTCTTGTTAAGAAGGGTTTACTTCATAGTGTTAAAAATACTCAATTCATCAGAAAATTATAATAATTTAAAATTTATATGTATCTAATACATGTAATGTCTCAAATATATAATGCAAAAATTGACAGAACTAAAAGAAAAAATAGACAAATCTATCTATAATTTTAGGTGATTTTAATAGCTTTCAGTAATTTATATAAGATATAAAATATTTAAACAACATGTTTAAGAAACTTGCCATGGGGCACCTGGGTGGCTCAGTCAACTGGGCGGCCAACTCTTGATTTTGGCTCAGGTCATGATCCTCAGGGTCCTGAGATCCAGCCCTATGTCAGGCTTCCCACTCAGCAGGGAGTCTACTTAAGGACTCTCTCCCTCCCACTCCTTCTGCCCCTCTCCCCGCTCATACAGTCTCGCTCCCTGAAATTAATTAACTAATTAAAAGGAAACTTGCCAGATGTAAAATACTGCATCCAACAATTGCAGAAGCACATTTTTTTTCAAGCCCTTAGAGAACATTTACAAAAATTTACCATACACTTGCCCACACAGCATCTTAATTTCAAAGGATTAGAATCAAAATATAATTTCTGACTGTAATGCAATTATATTAAATGTAAGTAATATAATTCTAAATAACACATGGATCAAAGAAATCATAGATACTGGAAAATACTTTGAGTTGAATCATAATGAAAATAAATATATGTTAGAGGTGCCTGGGTGGCTCAGTCGTTGGGCATCTGCCTTTGGCTCAGGTGGTAATCCCAGGGTCCTGGGATCGAGCCCTACATTGGGCTTCTTGCTTGGCGGGAAGCCTGCCTCTCCTTCTTCCATTCCCCCTGCTTGTATTCCTTCTCTCACTGTCTCTCTCTCTGTCAAATTAATAAATAAAATCTTTTTGAAAAATAAAAATAAAAATAAATAAACACATGTTAAAACTTGTAGGTCTCTGCAAAATTAATACTTGGAGACAAATATTTAGCTTTAAAATGTGTATACCCAAAAAAAAGAAGAAGAAGAAGAAGACCCAAAAGAGGAGTTTTATCATGTATTTCAAGGAACAAGGGAAAGATAAATAGCAAAAATTATGGGACGCCTGGGTGGCTCAGTTGGTTAAGCAGCTGCCTTCGGCTCAGGTCATGATCCCAGCGTCCTGGGATCGAGTCCCACATCGGGCTCCTTGCTCGTCAGGGAGCCTGCTTCTCCCTCTGCCTGCCATTCTGTCTGCCTGTGCTCGCTCTCTCTCCCTCTCTCTCTCTGACAAATAAATAAATAAAATCTTAAAAAAAAAAAAAAAAAAAGAAATGAAATCTTGCCATTTGCGACTAGGTGGATGGAACTTGAGGGTATTGTGCTTAGCGAAATAAGTCAATCAGAGAAAGACAACTATCATATGATCTCCCTGATATGAGGAAGTGGAGATACAACATGGGGGGTTTGGCGGTAGGAAAAGAATAAATGAAACAGGGGCGCCTGGGTGGCTCAGTGGGTTAAGCCACTGCCTTCGGCTCAGGTCATGATCTCGGGTTCCTGGGATCGAGTCCCTCATTGGGCTATCTGCTCGGCGGGGAGCCTGCTTCCCTTTCTCTCTCTCTGCCTGCCTCTCTGCCTACTTGTGAGCTCTGTCTGTCAAATAAATAAATAAAATCTTTAAAAAAAAAAAAAAGAATAAATGAAACAAGATGGGATTGGGAGGGAGACAAACCATAAGAGACTCTTAATATCACAAAAGAAACGGAGGGTGGCCAGGGGGAGCGGGGGAGGGAGAGGGTGGTGGGGTTATGGACATTGGGGAGGGTATGTGCTATGGTGAGTGCTGTGAAGTGTGTAAACCGGCGATTCACAGACCTGTACCCCGGGGGCTAATTATACATTATATGTTTATTAAAAAAATTTAAAAATTAAAAATTAAAACAAATAAAAAAATAAAATATAACAAAAGATAATACATTTTATTGAGAGGACCAATTTTATAGGTAAAATATATTTCCTTTGCCAAAAAATAATGATTTTACTAACTTCATTTTTCTTTTCTTATTCAGGTCATGTATGGAATGTTGGTCTTCACATTAGTACTTCGATCTATTTATATTGTTACATGGTAAGTGGTTTGGATTAACAGTATGATTAGATTACATTCAAGCAATAAATCTGTAGCCTAAATTGAAATAACACCCAACTCTAGCAGTGATATTGATAGAAAACTTTAGGCCAACATTTATTGTGGTATAAGATAGTGAATACTAGTTCTTTAAGCAAGGTGTTAATTGGCATCCTATAAAAACAAAAGTTCCACATTAATTTGAGGAAAACTGTATGATGGCCTCCTTTTGAGTATTTGTAATGTACATTAATATATTGCCTTGAAAAATATATTGCCTTGAAAAAAAAATTGTTTTTGTTTCTCTGAAACTATGTGACTCAGAACCCTTCTTACAAACCACTTTGTAAGGTTTTAAGGAAGAAAAGGTTTTTTAAGGAATAAAATGTCACAAAGAATCAGTAACTCCAGAGAGATTATTTAGGAAATAGTCATAATCTTTATAGAGTTTATGAAGATTAAATAATATTCATGTGAGTAACTTCCATGGGATCTGGCCATGCAGCATGTGCTCAATAAATGAATAATATGATTTATGGGTTTATCCTTTTTTTTTTCTTTTTTAATTGAGCTTTTTATTTTGAGGTAATTGTAGAAGCACATGTATTAACAGCGATCTCCTACACCCTTTACCCATTTTCTCCAATGATAATGTCTTGCAAAACTATAGTACAACATTACAACCAGGATTTGACATTGACAGAGTCAAGATACAGAACAATTCCATTGCCACAAGCATCTCTGTGTTGTCCTTTTGTAGCCGTACCCACTTATCTCCTACCCCATCATCTCACCACCTATTCTTAACCCCTGGCATTCACTAATTTGTCCTTCATTTATATGATTTTTTTATTTCAAAGATATTATGTAAATGGAATCATACAGTATATATAATAACCTTTGGGATTGGCCTTTTGCATTCAGCATAATTTACTGGAGATGAGTACAATTTGTTGAGTGTCAGTAGTCCATCCGTTTCTATTGCTTAGTAATATTCCATGATATGGATGTATTAGAGTTTAACTATTGACCTGTTAAATGACATCTGGATTGTTTCTAGTTTTTGACTATAAAGAATAAAGTTGCTGTGAACATTTGTTTTTAGGTTTCTGTGTGAATGTAAATTTTCCTTTCTCTGGAATAAATGCCCAGAGTAGAATTGCTAAATTGTATCATGGTATATGTTTTGTTTTTCTCAGAACTGCCATACTGTTTTCCAGCTGGGTTACCATTTTATATTTCCACCAGCAGTATATGAGTAACCCAGTTTCTCTGCATTATTGTCAATATTTCATGTTGTCACTATTTTTTTTTACTTTACCCATTGTTACAGGTATGCACTAATCTCTCATTGTGGTTTTAATTTTCATTTCCCTAATGTCTAAAGATAAACATATTTTCATGCATTTATTTGCTATTCATATATCCTCTTTGTTGAAATGATTGTTTGTGTCTTTACCCAATTTCTGATGGTATTGTTTCTTTTTTTTTCAGTTGAGTTTTGAGAGTTCTTGATATATTTTAGATACTATTCCTTCATCAAATATGTAGATAAATATTTTCTTTCCCAGTCTATACCTTGTCTTCTCATACTCTTCACAGAGTCTTTAATAGAGCAAAACAGTTTTTAATTTTAATGAAGTCTAATTTATCAGTTTTCATTTTATGGATCATATTTTTGGTGTCAAATATAAGGACTCTCTCCCTAACCCTAGATTCCTAGATTTTATCCTGTGTTTTTTTTTTTCCTAAAAGTTTTGTATAGTTTTATATTTTACATTTGAGTTCATGATTTATTTTTAGCTAACTTTCATATAAGGTATAAGGTATAAGGCTTAGGTCAAGGTCTTTTTTTTTTTTTTTTTTTAACTTATGAATGTCCAGCTACCCTACCACTGGTTGAGAAGACTTCCTGAAATTTCCCCACTGTATTGCTTTTGCTCTTTCCTCAAAAATGATTCATATATATTTGTGTAGGTCTATTTCTGGGTTTTTTATTTTGTTACATTAATCTGTGTGTCCCTCCACCATTGCCACACTCTCTTGATTACTGTAGCTATAAATAATACAACTCTTCAAATCATGTAGACTGTTTCCTCTCAGTTCTTTTTAAAATTGTTTTTAGGTGTTTAGGTTCTTTTGTCTGTCCATATAAATTTTACAATATATATTTAAAATTTTTGTTTGAATTTTTTTAAGAATTACATTAAACCTACATATCAGTTTGCGAAGAAGTCACATCTTTACTGTGTTGAGTCTTCCAGTCTTTAAACACATGTCTTTCCATTTATTTTGATTGTTCTTTGATTTTGTTTATCAGCATTTTGGAGCCTGCTTCTCCCTCTGCCTCTGCCTGCCATTCTGTCTGTCTGTGCTCGCTCTCTCTCCCTCTCTCTCTGACAAATAAATGAAATCTTTAAAAAAAAAAACAAAACCCACCTGATTAGTCTCAAAAAATCCACGTAAATACACAGTACTTTTTTTAAAAAGGTATAAAAACACTATGTGCCACACAAATACTGACTAAAAGAAAGTTGGACTAGCTATTTTAATAACGAAAAAAATTTAAAGCTTTATTTAAAACAAATGTGTTTGCTACATTATTATTAAAAGATTTAATTTATTAGGAAAAAAAAGCAATTCTAAACCTTCTATGGAAAATTTTAAGCAAAAACTGACAGAATTACAAAGAGATGTGTATCAGTGCTGCATCATGCTGAAATATTTTAACACAGTAAGCATATTAGCCAGGATATGGACAAAATTTAAATAATACAATAACAAATTGATTTAATATATTTAAGTTAAAGAAGTTTGGTCTTCTCAAGCATGCATGAAGTAGTTATTAAATCTACCAGACAATAGTTTTATTTTATTTTTTTATTAACATATAATTTATTCTTTGCCCCAGGGATATAGGTCTGTGAATCATCAGGCTTACATATTTCACAGCACTCACCATAGCACATACCCTCCCCAATGTCCATAACCCAGCCACCCTAACCTTACTCCCCCACCCCTCAGCAACCCTCAGTTTGTTTCATGAGGTTAAGAGTCTCTTATGGTTCAGACACTAGTTTTAAAGCAAGGTTCAGCAAACTTTACGTATAATATGTTCTCTGACTATAGTATAATTAGTTAAAACAGAATTAGTCAAAATAGCCCATGTATTTGGAAACTTAAAACCATACTTGTAAATACAAGTAAAAAAAAAAATGCAGTAGAAATAATACTTATAAAGTAATCACAGTGAAAGTGCCACAGATCAAGTACTACAAAGTACTGGTTCTTAGCGGGAAATGTATGCCTTAGATGTTTACATTAGGAGCAGAGAAACTGAAGAATAATGAATTAAGCATACAACTTCAATAATTAGAAAAAGGATCAATAGAATCAATCCACACAAATGAAGAATGGGACTATGAAAGGGCAGAAATTAAAGAAAAGGAAACATATAATATTGAAGATCAACATCTTCAATCTAATTTTCCTCCCTTCTGAAACCCTACTAAGACTCAATAAAGCATAACCCACAAGAAGACTGAATAAAATTTTTAAAGCTGGAAAATAGATGGATTACTGCTAACCCAAGAAAGCCAAATTTTAAACAAAGAACCTCCAGTTTACATCATAATTTTCTCAAGTATCAAGTATCAAGCATTAACCCAACAGTTTAGAAAAGCAGATGAATTTGGGTTCTAAAATAAGGAGGGCTGGTTAAAAGCCTTAAGAAAATGTTAAATGCTTACATCCCCTCACCTACTCCATACCACAGAAGAACTACAGAGCCTGTAGGTTTATTCTCTGGTAATGGTGAACAATGTCTCTAGATTGGGTTTTGCCAGACAGCATGTCAATAACATGGTGAAATCAGAGAAATTGGGTGATCTTACGCAGTTTGAATGTTGAATGTAAAAACCTCTAAACAGAGAATTGAGAGGATCTTCTTTTAGGGAATATGAGAAGCCTTAAAAGACCTAAAGATACTGATTTGGGGGTTCCCTAACAATTGGCCCAGCAAAGTAACCCTATGGTAAAGGTTACTAACTCAACCACATGCCTAGAGTTACTAACTCAACCACCTTTTTAGTTTCCCATTCTTAAGAATGAGGAGACAGTGCCAAACAAGAGGAATGCATCCAGTATGAAAGACAGAGGCCAAAACAAATAAGGGGTGGGGGGGTGGGGGGGAATCAACTTAGAAGAAACAACTTATGCATGAAGGAGAAAACTTCAAATATAACAAAACAACAAATACCATTAATCCATTCATGTTTCTAGAAATACACGATATCTATGAAATCAAGAGTAAGATGCAAGATAAAAAAAAGGAGCATTCAGAGAATCCCCCCCCCCAAAGATACTAAAAATATGGTAAAACTGAACACTGAAGCGAATGGTTTGAAAGATACAGTTGAAGAAGTCACTGGAATTCCTTCTCCTGAACATATATTGTGATTGCATTATGGTCCATCATCTCCCATCCACCAGTAAGAATCTACCACAGAAAAGGCACTAAACCCATGGTGTGATCCAGAGTAAATAAGAGCACAAGGCCTCAGGACCCTTGTGCCCACTCATCACCACTGCTGTGGAGAAACAGTGAAGTGTTTCCTCATGTCTGTGGGCTTCACAGCAGAAAAGACAGAAGCAAACACACACACACATACACACACACCTGGGTGCCATCAGGATGATGAGAAAGAAATGGAGAAGAGACTCAATAGAAATATTACTAGGCCAGATGCAAAGACAGTGCAGATAAAATGGAAGGGAAGGAATCATTACTAAAATTACTTAAAATACCCTGCAATTGAAAGACATGAATTATTACATTGAAACAACCACTGGCTATTCAACACAATGGGTAGAAATAGACCCATGCCAGTTTCAGAATTCTTGACAAGGAAGATTCCACAAGTTTGTAGAGTTAGAAGGCAGATATACATATGAAGGATCAGAGATCAGAATGGTTTGGGGCTTGTCAAAACAAAACTGGCAGCTAGAATTCTAGAATTCTAACTTAGAATCCTGCAGCCAACCAGACTACCAGCTCATATATTTGAGTTCTCAAAAAAAACCTTATAGCCTGTAAACTATTATGGAAACCTACTGAAGGATGTATAATGAGAGAGTAAACAGAAAAAGAGGAAGACATGAGATAACAGGACATAGGAAATCCAATGCTGAGAGAGGTAAAGGCAATTCTCAGGGTGAAGAGGAAGGGAAGGAATTTCTCAGCTATACACTAGCGAGGAAGGTAGTTGAGAGTGAAGCTGTGTTACACCAGACCCATATGTGTTGAGGGCCTTCTGTATTACCCATTCTCATACCTGATAATAATGGGTAGTCTGTCCCCAGAATCTTATCTGTACTTAGCTTGTAGGGACCATGTGCTGATGAAATTCTTGCTCTCTCCTCTGTACCCTGCTGCCTGGATAACCAAAGACATTCATTTCACCCCACAGAAGAATTTTGCTTTGAACTACCGCTGAGAGCTGAAGATTGGCCCTGGTAAGTAAGCTTAGAAGCAGAAAATAGAGAGTACCCTACTCCCATTGATCATATTTTGTCACATCTCAGCATCTGGCCCACACTGCAACCCTGCCAGATGCCTTCACTTTGTTGAGCCCTGTGTTTCCTGGGACTCATTCTTGCCTCCCCTAAATGGGGTTATGATATACTCTGAAAAGCTGAAGATAGACTGTGACTCTCTTAACCTAATCTTCTGAGAACCTTCATATGCACAGCCAGGTTTGTGCTTTCCTGATGGTTTTTAGATTACCCTTTTTCATTCAGTTATATACAAATACTAACAGGTAAAAATAAGAAAATATTTGAGAAAATCTATTTTTGTCGTTCACCATACTTTAAAAAAAAAGGAAAAAAAGTACATGAAGATAGCAGATTTAGAAAGAGTATTCTGTAAAGTTCAACAGCTATTTATAAACTAAAGACAAAATAAAACCCTTTACAAATTAGTAATAGAGGGGAACTTTCTTAACCTGTAAACTCTACATCTAACACATGTAGTAATAAAGTGTTTTTTTTTTAAATTATCTTTAAAATGAAGAATAAAACAAGAATATGTATTATCACCACTTCTATTCAAGCCTTCTATTGAAGGCTTGTCCAATAATAGTATTTGCAGATCACATGATCATGTACAGAAAATGTCATAGGACATGTACCAAAAAACTCCTAGGAGTAATAAGTTGGAATTCAGCAAGGTCATGAAATTCAAATGAATATTCAAAATTCATATTTCTGTATACTAGCAGCAAATAATTGAAAAGAGAAATTTCAAAAGTATAGTTTCCAGTAGCACCAAAATACATCAGATGTTTAAAGATTAAAATTTAGTGACTGTATGTAGGACCTACATATGGGAAACTACAACAAACAGTTTTTTGCCGAGGGAAATTTAAGAAGACCTAAACAAACGGATAGGTGGGCCATTTTCATGGATTAGAAACCTCAATATTGTTAAGATGTCAGTTCTCCCCAACTGATCTGTAAGTTTAATGCAATCACAATCAAGATCTCTGCAGGCTTTTTGGTAAAAATTGAGAAACTGATTCTGAAATTTATAAGGGAATAAAAAGGATCTAGAAGAACCAAAGCAGTTAAAAAAAATATATATATATATATATGACATGGGCGCCTGGTGGCGCCATTGGTTAGGCATCTGCCTTTGGCTCAGGTTATGGTCCCGGGGTTGTGGGATCGAGTCCCACATCGGGCTCCCTGCTAAGTGGGGAGTCTGCTTCTCTCCTTCCTTCCTATCCTCACGCTCTCACGTGCGCTCTCTCTCAAATGAATAAATAAAATCTAAAAAAAAAAAAGAAAAAGAATGACAAAATTAGAGGACTTAACACTCCTTAATTTAGTCTGTGGTACACTGATCAAGACAATGTGGTATTGGTGGTAAAAATGAAATACAGATCAGTAAAACATCTGCAAGTAGTCTATTCATCCATATTGACCTGATGTTAAGTAAACATTCAAAGGTAATTCTGTGGGGGAAAAGATAATCTTTTCAAGGGGCGCCTGGGTGGCTCAGAGGGTTAAAGCCTCTGCCTTTGGCTCAGGTCATGATCCCAGTGTCCTGGGATTGAGCTCCGAATCGGGCTCTCTCCTTGGGGGGGGAGCCTGCTTCCTCCTCTCTCTCTGCCTGCCTCTCTGCCTACTTGTGATCTCTTTCTGTCGAATAAATAAATAAAATCTTTAAAAAAAAAAAAAGATAATCTTTTCAATAAATTGTCCTGAAACAACTGGGTATTCTTATTTTAAAAATGAACTTAAACTCCTGCCATTACAAAAGTTAATGCCATTACAAAAATTACTAGAATTGAATCATATCCCTAAATGTAAAAGCTAAAATTATAAAACTTCTAGAAGAAATTATAGAAGTCTTTGCAGACAGACTTTAGTTAAGCAAAGTTATTAAATAGGATACAAAAAATACAAACTATAATGAAAAAATTGATAAATTGAACTTTATCAAAATAACAAATTTTTTTTTTCAAAAGACATTAAAAAAGTGAAAAACAAATCACAGATTTGAAGAAAATACAAAATATATATCCAGCAAAGGACTTAATGTTTAGAATATATAAAGAATTCTTACAACTCAATAAGAAGGCAAACAATTTTTTTAAATAGGCAAAGATTCAACAAACGGTAACAAAGATTAACATGGATGGCAAATAGGGCACAAGAAGATGTTCCATAACATTAGTCATTAGGGAAATGCAAATTAAAATGACATTGAGATACCACTAACATCTACAAGGAACAAGTAAAATGAAAAAATCTACCCATGTTATATGAAGTGTTGGTGGGGATATAGAACAAAAAACTCATACACTGCTGGTGGAAATGTAAAATGATACAGTCACTTAGGAAAACAGATTAACAGTGCCTTAATAAGTTTGACATTCACCTGCCATACAATTCAACTATTCTTCACCTTTTTACCCAATAGAAATGAAAGCAAACATTCATACAAAAACTTACCTATCAGTGTTCATAGCTGTTTTATTTGTTATAGAAAAAAATGGAAACAACATTAATGTCCACCAACATTTGGACAGATAAACAAATTGTGGTATATCCACACAATGGAATACCACTCAGTGACTAAAGGAAATGAAGTATTGATACACATAACAACATGGATGAGTTTTAAAATAATTATGCCAAGTGAAAGAAGCCATACAATGAAGAGGATGTATTGTGTTATTCCATTTATACAGTGTTCTAACTAGCTTTTGGAGATGATGGTTATGTTTAGTATCTTGATTGTAGTGTTTCATGGATATATACAAATATACTGATCAAATGTACACTGGAAATATAGTCAGTTAAATTGTAGGTCAGTGATACATCATTGAAGCTATAAAAATATATAAGCTACTGTTCTTATTTTGGGTAACTCACTAAGCTTCAGTTTTCTTATCAGTGAAGTGCAAAAACTAATACCTGCCTCACAGGGTTTATTTGAAGATTTTATTCATTTGCCTGTGTATCTAATTGACTGTGGTGCCTGCCTGACGCAGAGCAGGTGACTCAGTCAATGTTAATTCTGTTGCAACATGACCTACTTTTTCCAGGGGACTGATAAAGTTATTGGGGGCCTTCAGATTACTTTCTTGAAACACTTAGCAAAGTCTTAGTTGCATATTCTTCCTCATTTTTTAATGGCTAAATGTAATAGGCAAATGTATTAGAAAATTTGATAGGTTTGCATTTAATACTAATGAAAACCTTCCCTTTTTCTGAAAGCAGTGGCTTCAAGCTCTGAACATGACGTGACTTAACAGAATTTCAGTTTGCTGTTCTTTTTTTTCCCACAGGGTTTATCCATGGCTCAGAGGACTGGGTTATACATCCTTGGGCATATTTTTAATGGGGTTTCTATTATGGAACATAGATAACATCTTTTGTGATTCACTGAGGTAAGATATATTTTTGGAAGCAATTTATTAAGCAGAAAATTTCATAAGCATATAGAATTACTAGCGCCATGAAATGAATTTTTGCCATTGTTAAGTTAAATTCTGAGAATACTTGTTTAATTAACCTAAAAATTTGGACCTAAGACTATTTCATAATATCTATAGGGATTTTTGTGTGTATATATCACAGAATTATAGAGTTGATCAGATGTTAATTAGGCCTCTGAAATCTGCCTAATCTGCTGTGTTGAAGAAATACTAAGGATTTGTAAGAAGCATATAAGATGCATGTATATAATTTTGTACTTTAATATACTTAATGTTATTTTCTAAGAAAGGCAAGTGTTCTCTTTACCACCTTGTCAGCAATTATGTATTGACTAGAGTTTGAATTTTGGGTCTCTGGGCTTAGTCTGTCACCAAGATAAATATCTTTCTGTACCTCAGTTTCCATAAAATGAACATGTTCAACAGGTTAAGCTAATGGGTCCTTCCAACTCAAAATTTTGTGCCTAAAGTTTTGCATAAACACATAAATTGAAAAGCACCAGAGAGAGGCAATCAGCAAAATTCAGACTGTGAGAAATCTACAAGATGAATGACATGGTCTCTTCGGCATAAATTGTAGAGGGGGTAAAAAAAAAAGGAACATACAGATTAAAAGAGCCTTAAGGGCGCCTGAGTGGCTCATTCAGTTAAGTATCCAACTCTTGATTTTGGCTAAGGTCGTGATGGCGGGGTGGAGAGATGGAGCCCTGTGTGTCAGCCTCTGCGCTCAGCATGGAGTCTGGGATTCTCTCTCTCCCTCTGCCCCTCCCCCTGCAGGTGTGCCTGCACACATTTGCACTCTCTCTGGAAGGGAGGAAGGAAGAAAGAAAAAGAAAGAGGAAAGAAAATATAGAAAAATACACGAGACTTAAGAGATAGGATATATCAAGCAAATGCAATGTGTTGATTTTTTTAAAATTTTGATTCAAGCAAAACAACTGCAAAACAAAATTTTAAACTCATGAGACAATTGGAACTTTAATCAGTAATTGAATATTTCATGATATTAAGAGATTATTGTTAATATTTTATATGTGAAAATGGTATTACTGTTATGTTTTAAATAGGTGGGGTTTTTTTTTAAGATTTATTTATTTATTTATTAGAGCAAACACAAGTGGAAGGGATAGAGGGACAGGTAGAGAGAATCATAAGCAGACACCATGCTGAGTGTGAAGCCCTACTTGGGACTTGATCTCATGACCCCGAGATCATGACCTGAGCAGAAACCAAGAGTCAGTCACTCAACCAACTGCATCACCCAGGCACCCTATAAAGAGCTTTTAATCTTTAGAGACACATACTGAAATATTTAGAATTAAAATGATACAATATCTAGGATTTGCTTCAAAATATGGAAGGGGAGAAGTGGATGTGAGTCTCAATGGTTGCTAAGTTATTTAAATTGTTGAACCTGGATAATGGATACATTATAATTTTGCTCACTTTTGCACATGTTTGAAATTTCCCATAATAAAAAATTAAGTAAATATATATTTTAAATGTATACAAACAAACTAGTAATATGCCTTGCTTAGAAAACTAAGTTCTGAATGAGTGATTCTGAATCCCTATTACTCATCAGAAGCCCCATTAGAGAGAGCACTTACACTGCCGAGGTAAGTCATCCTCCTCTGGGTTAAGAGCCACTAAGAAATGAAATAGGTTCTTAGAGATGGTAATTGTCTCAAAAAGTCATGGGATATCTAGAGAAGTAGTTTTAAATTGATTGTTTTCCTTCCTTCCAGTAAATGAGAAATTAATATGGTACATATTAATCAAAAGATGTAGAATTTGAGACTCAGCTGTGCCACTTGGCTGAGTGACTTGGGCAACTCGGTCTCTAATTTTAGGTCCTTCATCTGTAAAGCAAAGCTAATAATAGCCACTTCAAAGACTCACTATGAAGTGAAATAATATTTACCAAAAGTACTTTATAGACTGTATGGTGCTCATCTAAGATGAAGGTTGTATGTAGGGCAGGGAAAAGAAGTGAAAATAACTCTTGTGTAGTTCTGATAGGACTTCTCAGAGCCTTCATTCTATTAATAGACATTGCAGTCTCCAGGAGGGCAATAAACTATATACTACTGTCTGTGGGTTTTTTTGAACACAGAATCATTTCTTCATGGAACTCTGGTAGGATCACTGTTCCTCAAAATATACTTTGGAAAACAATATGCAGACTACAGCAGATTTAAGGAAATTAAATAATTGACATATGTGAGAATAACATTTCAAAATGCTCAAAGGCTGTCAGCAATAGTTGCTAAATATTTAAAAAAATAGTAATAATGGTGATTTTCCCCCCTCTTTACACAGGAACTTTCGAAAGAAGGTGCCACCTATCATGGGTGTTGCCACACAGTTTCATGCATGGTGGCATATTTTAACTGGCCTTGGTTCTTATCTTCATATCCTTTTCAGGTAGGAAATAGAGACTTTTTTTTTTTTAGCATAGTATTGAAGTGTTTTTGCCTTTACTGCTTCAAATAGGATGGTGTAAATATAAAATGTCAGGGACAAAAATCAGGAACTTATATTCTAGCTTTGCCTCTGCACCTGGGTGACCTTAAACAAGTCCCTTCCCCTCTCTGAAGCTTCGTTAGTTTTCTCATCCCTTTTTTTTTAAGACTTTATTTATTTATTTGTCAGAGAGAGAGAGACTGAGCAAGCAGTGGGAGAGGCAGCAGAGAGAGAGGGAGAAGCAGGCAGGCTCCCTGCTGAGCAGAAGCCCGATATGGGACTCTTTCCCAGGAACCTGGAATCATGACCAGAGCCAAAGGCAGAGGCTTAACTGACTGAGCCACCCAGGTGTCCCTAGTTTTCTCATTCTTATAGTGAGATGGTTGTACTAACTGACCTCTGACACATGATTTACATTTTAAGTAATCATTCATCTCCTTTTTAGAGCAAGTAGGATGTAAACATTTCCGTTTCTTATTTATCAACATATCTTTATTTATAGAGAATACATTTAGAGGGGGAAAAGCAGCCAGATCCCCTAAGTAGCAGACTGGGAAAGCATGAGTGTTAGAAGTCCCCAGCTTAATTTGTCTCTTTCCCTGAAATAAGTTGGTTGCCACTTCTCTTCCCTTGCTCAAGAGTCTGTTGGAAGTCAATCATTTATAACAAAAATGAAATTAGAGTTCTCTCTGATCACACTATTCAAATAATGTCTCCATATCATTCTCCCCTTACCAGGCCTTATTTTTCTTCAAAGCATTTATAAACAGTTTATAAACAATATTGTTTATAAACAATATTAATATATTTATTGTTTGTCCCCACCCGCTAGACTTAAAGTTCCTTGAGGTAAGGGACTTTATCTTATTCACTGCTGCTCTCAAATGCTTAGAACAATACCTATCAGATAGTAAGCACTCAATATATATTGTTATTGAATGAATGTGTACCTATTGATCTCTTTACAAGGGGGTCAGAATATGTTTAATCTCAAATTCTAATCAAGAATTGAGAGAGCTAAAATATTTCTAGAAAGGGGAAAATTTTTTTCTTTGAACCAATATGAAAATTAAAATTTACTCAACTGAAATTTGTAGAATACCTCCTTAAAATAACATTGGCATCTCACCTCTCTGGAGATAACTTATTTAGGCAACCTGAATTATCTGAAATATAACTACCTGAGAATTACAGAAAAAAGACTTTTGGGCAGCTAAATAAGAATCGTTGCATTCATGCTGTGAAGAGCTCAAGGTTATTAATCATGGAAGAGCTCTTAAACTCTGACTGTAAGTATATTTATTTTACTTTATGCAACCTGTTATTACTATATTGATTATTTGGATTCTCAGCCCATAGCACTTTAGAAATAGCTAATTTAAAAGAGAAGGGATAGGAAATGTTTGAGGAAATCGAAAAATTATAGAAAAGGAGAAATAAGAATGAGCCTGACAATTACAAACTTAGCACTTGAACACTGCCCAAGAAGTCCCAAGGACATTACTGCAGTATAGTACAATACATAGTAAATTTCTATAATAAATAAGAAGTGAAAGTATACTCATCATATGCTATTTTAAAAGGTTAGGGTTCAGGGCGCCTGGGTGGCTCAGTGGGTTGGGCTAAAATCTTGGGGTCCTGTGATCGAGCCCCGAGTCAGGCTCTCTGCTCAGCGAGGAGCCTACTTCCCCCTCTTTGCCTACTTGTGATCTCTCTCTGCCTACTTGTGATCTCTCTCTCTCTGTCAAATAAATAAATGAAATCTTAAAAAAAAAAAAAAAAAAGGTTAGCGTTCCCACTTTCCCTTTTCTGTTTTTACTTTCCATCTCCCTGTCACTTTCTCCTTCTCTTCTCCTGGTATGGAAACCCTTCAGGGAAGCGGGATAATGATAGGAAGAAGTGCTCTGCTGCGGTGGCAGCATTCAGTGTCTGAGGAATGAGGAAAGGAGGCCAGTGGTAGTAGTATGCTGAGCTCCAAGAAGATCTGGTGGTGAGGGGTGGGGGAGTGGCTGCTGTGCCCTGCAAGGAAACAGAGTGATGAGGTGAAGGGATATGGCAGGGTGCATGGAGGAGGTGGCTGGAGTTAGGAAATGGGTTATACTGAACTAGTAAATTCGTTGATTAAACAATAAGTAAATATATTGTGGATCATAAAAGCCTGATTTCTCCACTGTCTCAGAAGGGATTTACAAATATGGAAAGAGGGAAAGCTAGACAGAATCTTGAGAGGTTTAGATTGGAATTTAAATTATTAGGGACACCTGGGTGGCTCAGTCAGTTAAGTGTCTGGCTTCAGCTCAGGTCATGATCTCAGGGTCCTGGGATTGAGCCACACATCGGACTCCCTGCTGAGTGGGGCATCTGCTTGTCCCTCTTTCTTTATTCCTCCCTGCTGCTTGCTCTTCTCTCAAATAAATAAATAAAAATCTTTTTAAAAAAGTATTATTACGAACTCATGAGTGTGTGACACAAACATAAATATACACACAGATATGGAAGAAGTTAAATGTGTGTGTGTTGTATACATTAAAAATACATGTGTATATATGTGCTAACACATACATGTATCACCTAGCTCTATGAAACCCTGTGAAGGCTGAAAGGCAAGCTTTGGCCTTGTAAACCTGAGATAGTGTGAATATCAAAATTAAATAGCAAGAGTTTCAGGTTAAAACCCATTGAATAAATTAGACTCTGTGAGTGCATACTAATATAAATAAATGAGAAGGGAAGTCTTCCTTACAAAAGAATGCCAACTAACAAATTTAGAAGGAACAATGGACACAAATGATTACCATTTGGCAGCCATCTTAGGAATAGTTGATATGTATTATGTATCAGTGGATGCTCTGGCTGATAGGTGGGAATATGATGAGGAACACATATTGGTGTAATTTAGAATATCTCTCCATGAAAGACTAATACAGAGGGGGAAATGGTGACTTTACAGTGAAAAAAACTGCAGCAACCAACTTGACTGTGCATTTAAGGTTAAGATTGTCCATGACAGAGCATGTCATTATGGTATGTCTCCTGATAAAATGCACTGAAATGAGCTCAGCATCATTTCTGTAGTATTTCTGCCAAAAATCATGGCCTGGGTCTGGTTATGAGGAAATATTGATGGTTCTATGTTGAAGGTCCTTCTACAGAATCAAAGTCTTATACTTTTTAAAACTATCAAGTTCATGAGACAAGGAAATACTGAAGAACTGTTCTAGTTAAAAAAACAAATTAAGATGTGAAAACTAAATGCAGTGTTTGTTTCTAGATAGCAAACTGGATCAGAAAGGAAAAAGAAATTACTGGGACAGTCAACAAAATTAGAATGAAGTCTTGACTTGGATGTTAGTATTGTATTAATTTCCTAAGTGGAAGGGTTGTATTATAGTAATTTAGGATACTGTCTTTGTTATATGGTGATACATATTAGAATATTTAGAAGTGGTGGGTATCATGTCATTCAAAGACTCCATAGGATATATATACACTTGGACATACGTGTGTGTGTGTGTGTAAAAACAAATGTGGTTAAATGATAACAATTTGGCATCTGGGAGACGGGGTACAGAAATTCTTCATACCAATCTTAAAACTGTCCTGTAAATTTGAAACTATTTTTAAATTAAAAAAATAAAGGAGAGGAGAAGGCCAAGCCTCCAGATGATGATGGAGGGGAAGGGGTTGAGATATTGGGTGTAAATAAGCAAATAGAAAACTGATCAACTAATTGGTAATCAAAATGCTTCCTAAAACAGTAGGATATCCATTTTTGTGAAAAAGACAGGGCTAAATATACATATATGCTCATAAATACCTAATTATCTTTGTAAGGGTTTATGTTAACTGATAAGTACCAGCATTTATCTCTGTGCTGAAGGTACCAGGTAGGAGACAGACCTTTTTCCTTTCTACTCTTCCAAATCTTTACCAAATGATTATATTACCTATTTTTAGAAAATTTTTTAAATAAAACAATGAGATATTTTTTTATATCCATTAAGTGAGCTCTATAATATTTTAAAATTTCCTTCTGTATTCCTTAGTTGCAGGGAAATGATACGATCACACATTACTTGTCAGTGTAAATTGATGTAACCCATTTGGAAAGAAATTTGATACTATATGTGTTTGTGAAAATAAAATATTTATATTTTTTATCCCAGTTATATTCTTGGAATTTATCCTAAAGAAATAACCCAGAAAAGTGAAAATGTGTGTGTAAACTCAATTATTTTTATTACAGTGTTTCTTAATCAGCAAAGCATCAATAATAATAGAAGAAAAAGAAATTACACAATAGTGTAGAATTATAAAATAAATTACAGTATATCTTTTATTCAGCTATTTAAAATTATATGAAAATTTTATAGCAACTTAGAAAGATATTTGGATTAAGTGAAACAGACTAAAATCATATGTAGGTAATTATTAACCCTGTGTAAAAACTAATTTATCAGGACAAGGGTTAAAGTAAATATGGAAAAAAATGAGGCATTTTTATTATATATGGTGGCAGGGTTTTGACTTTTTTTTTTTGTTTTGTTTTCTATTAATGTTAAAATGTTTTACTTTTTTTTTTTAAGGAGGCAGGGAAGATAGAATATGTTTTAGACATATTTCATCCTAAATAAATAAAATAAAAGAAGCTTGGATATTCAAGCTTCAGTTATGGAAATTTTGATTCTTTGGGTACCTCATCGAATGAAGCATGCAAATAATATTTCAGAGGGATGATTTGAAAATTTAACAATATAACATATGTGCCCTTTCAGACTTAAGTACTGTACAAATGTTTGTTTCAAACAAAGAGTTAATACTGGGGAGTAAAAATATCTGAGCTTGGAGCTTTTCTCCATTACTTTGTAACTGTGTAACAGTCTTGAGCCAAGTTATTTACTTGCCATGTATACTGATTTAGAATCCAGTCTCATCTTCATAGGTTACTTATTCTAAAGCTACTGTGAGGAAGACTTTCTTTACCTTCCTGATTATCTCATACCTGTATTGTAATCCATATAGAGTTGATATAACCACTTCCAGAATATTCTAAGAATCCTCTACTTTAATCCTTGCTACCATATATCTTCAAAGATGAAACTGGCAGTTGTGACATGAATCATCAAGTGTGAGTGGAGTGCTCCCTACTAAACTACAAACATCCTGAGGTCACAGTCTGAGCGTATTCATTTCTGTCTTCCTTAGCATCTTGCCAGTGTTCTGCATAGAGTAGCTCCTCAAAAAATGGTTGCTAAATGAACAAAGAATCTACTAGGGTTGCTTTCTTTGTGTGTGTACAGAGGCACTGTGCTTAAATTTCTCAGTAGGCCAGTTTGTATGAATTAAAAATTAATCTGAAGTGCTTTTCCTCCCTCCCCTTTTCTTTTAGTTTATATACAAGAACTCTTTACCTGAAATACAGGCCAAAAGTAAAGGTAAGTTCCCTTCCTAGGGGTGGGTGTGTGTGCGTGTGTGCATGCATGTGTGGGTGTGTTGGGAGAGGCTTGGTGTTGGGAGGATGGGTCCCAGGTGGAAGAAGGGGGTGGGGTGGAAAGGTAGTAGAGTACAAGCTTTGGAACCAGATGCTTTTGAATCTTGACCAGGTCTTCCATGTACTGCTTTATGACGTTGGGCAAATCTGTTCTTTTTAAGCCTCAGTTTTTTCAACAATAAAATGGAGCTGTCAATAGCTACATTACAGAGTTGTTTTAAGAATGAGATGATTAAAATGCCCAGCTCCATGCCTGACAAAATAGAAATTTAATCCATTTAAATAAATTAAATAAAAATAGTTTCTGAGATCTGGTGCAAGTCTGGAAAGACTGCCATATTCAGGCTACTGATACCAGGGTAGTTGTTAGCACATCTAGCTCCATAGGTTCTTTTTCAGGCATGACATGCGGTAGTTACCTTCTTTCATTTTGCCCTAACTTGTTTCCAAACAGTTTCTCTTCGGAATCTGGCCAGTGATCCTTTTTGAGCCTCTCAGGAAGCACTGATGAATTATTCCACCAAGAAAACAAAAAAGCACCGACCATAGGCCTGGCCAAATGAATAAGGAAATCCTTAAAGATCTACACATTCAAATATATTATGACCATCAGAGTAAAGAGTGACTTTCTGAGTAATGCTGCCAGTCACGCAGAGAATAAGGAATGGGGCATGTTGGATGTTTAGCTTGTGTCTTTATCTCATTGTCCTTCTCCTCCTCACCCTCACTCTAAAATGTTAAAAAAAAAAACAAACAAACAAAAAAACAGACATGATGTGTGTGTATATACTCAAATGCTGGAAAAATGAGGCTTTTCTTAACAGGTTAACAGTTTGTGTGGATCATAGGAAATTGACCTCCTTCCCTTTTTTGATAAGGGTTGCATGTGAATTATATTTGCTTAATATTTGATTAAATAATCAAAACAGCTAAGTATCAGAAAACCCCATATCCAGATGGCCAACTGTGGAACCGGCACTTAGCATTGTAAGCCTTGATTTATATTCTTGTCATAGTAACCTCATGAATGATTTTCCAAGGTGAAAAATAGTTCTGATAGTTCTTCACTGTCTGCCTTCGTGCTAGTCAGTATGTCATAAGCAAACTCCGTCCTGCTGCTAGGTTCCATACTTGCTATATACCAGATTTGCAGTGGGCTCTGAGGTGTCTGTGTGTGGCCACAGCCAATCAGAGTGCGTGGGTCATCTTGTAATATTTACGAAGACCATGAGGACACTTGTAGAATGTTATACCTCCAGCCAGTTAAGGGTGGTTTCTCAGTTTTCTTTGATCCTTGCAGATCTTTAAGTTTCACTGGTATTATGGCTAGGCAGACATGACTGGTGGTCTGGCCTACTCCCCATATTCCATCCTCTTAGCCTAATTTATTTGAAGTTACCAGTGAATATTGTTATACTCTGACTTTTTAAATTATGCAATATTTTCCAGTTTTCAGAGAGGCTATGGTTATGCCCAGGGAAATATTTCAGGTTAACTAGAACGAAAATGATCAGGATCCTTTTTACCTAAAGCTTATTGGAATATCTGCCCCTTCATTTTTTGAAGGCAATTGATATGAGTTGAGAACAGCGCTAACTTACTTGAACTTGTAACAGAACTCACCAAAATTAAAGTGTTAAGAAATGGCAGTGAAATATCATTGTAAGGCAGCTAGTTCTAATTTAGCTTTGAACATATAACAAATTGAATCACTTTTCATAAACATAACACCTGTCCGGAGTAAAAACCTGATTTGGCCCCTTTGCTGATGTATCACCGTATTTGTAGCTCCAAACCATTTGGTATTTTTGCAACTTTTTCCTGCTCATGCATTATAAAATCCAGATTGTTTTTACCACATGGTGACATTGACTCAGATTAAATCCTGAAGCTACAACTTCAAAAGGAGAATCATTTTTTTTTTCTTATGCAAAGGTATAAAATACTGCTATCATTTCTCCAGTATGTAGTAAGTCTCCTTGGTACAAATTTAAAACCAATAGAAATTTTGTTTTTCTTCACCTATTAGCCTTAGTTTTAGTCAGAGTACTATTTTCCTTAACTTAGTGTGCCAGCATGCCATTAGGCAGATAAGTCTGCCTACTTTTATGATCTTCCAGCAAGAAAAACACTTGCCAAAATAAATCTAAAGAACTTTGGTTGTGCCTTAAGAAAATCTAAATCTAAGCCGTTCCAACACACAGCCCGTAAGACTGTTCTTTTGCCACAAGATTCTGACTTCTGGCTACATGTCATGTGCCATCTTACATTTTTTAAATAAGTTCATTTGTTTCACACCATTGTCTTTTTGTACTTTTCTTTCAAGATACACTTCTGTGTAAAGAATTTATATATGGCAACAAAGACACAGCCTTCTTGACAGTGCAGCTAGGTGTGTGCCACCGAGTTTCTGTGTATCACAGTCAGATGAGGTATGGAGAGCTGCCCCCACTGACACTGGGGTCCTTTCCAGCAGCTTGCTGAATGGGCAGTTCAGCTGCCACCCCTTGGAGTCGCTTGAAGAAGGTTGTTCAACACCTCAGTGGAGAAGCATGGGCACCACTGGATGACTTGTAATGCTGTGGCCGGTTCTTCAGAGACCCTTGTTTCTGCTGTAAAAACAGCAATGTGAAAGCAGAAAGGATCTTAGAAGTGTTGAAAGGAAAGCAGAGACTGAATCCAGACTCAACTCTCCAAGTTAGTCTGTGCCTCTTATGTGGCTCTCCTAGCGGCCTAAGTATTTGCACACTCCAGACTTTGTTTCTGTGCCATAGTGAGTATTATGGAAATACTGCTGACCTTCAGGATATCACTAAATCGAATTTATTTCAATGGCTTTATTTTTCCCTTCTAGGATTATGGGTGGGCATTATAGGGTTTGATTACTACCCCCTTCCCTTTATTTTCTTGGCAGACTTCCTGAACTAGAGTATACAAAAAACCTGTTTTCTGCTGAGCAAACAATTGTTTGTTTACATATCATCTGATATGGAAGGCATTCCTCTGTGAGCCCTATACCAAAATACCTTCCAGAAAATACTGATACCTTAAAAGGATATGAAAGAAGCAGTTTGCTTGCACATCTTAATATCCTGCCATTTTCACAGAAAATTGAAAGCAACTTGCCTTTTTTTTTTTTTTTTTTTTTTTTTTTTAAGAAAAACTATATGAAAGGTGGTTGTACTAATCTGGTTGGTCACTCTACCCACCCCTTCCCACCTTGGTGCTTTCATGAAACGTTGCCAACACCTGAAGTAATCTCTTTTATCCTTGTGATATAGTATAAATTGATGATTGGTGAAAAATAGATGAGAAACATTCATTTTTGAATAATTTAAAATGAGAACCCCAAATAGTGGTATTTGGTGTAGTAGAATTAGATAAAATAATGTGGTTTACCCTAAATGCACAATTTCCAGGACTGTTAAACTAGGCTTTCCTTACACTAAGAAAGTTTTTCTTATACTAAGGAAAAGGAGGTGGGGTCAAGAAAAGAAAAACTTTAAGTACACAACACATGAAAATCTTTAAATACCTGAAAAAACTAAGTTCTATTAAAGATTTTATTTTTGGGGCACCTGGGTGGCTCAGTTGGTTAAAGCATCTGCCTTCTGCTCAGGTCATGATCCCAGGGTTCTGGGATCAAGTCCCTCATCTGGCTCCCTGCTCAGTGGGAAACCTGCTTCTCCCTTTCCCTCTGTTGCTCCCCCTGCTTCTGCTCTGTCTCTCTCTTTGTCAAATAAATAAATAAAATCTTTTTTTTTTTAAGATTTAAAAATCTTTTTAAAAAAGATTTTATTTTTAAGTAGTCTCTGTACCCAATGTGAGGCTCAGACTTACAACCACAGGATCAAGGGTCACATATTCTACTGACTGAGCCAGCCATGTGCCCCAAAACTGTGTTGTTGTTTTAATGCCAACTCCTTCAGAATTGAGCCAGTGCCCCTTAAAGTATAAATGACTTAGCTTAAGATTTTCTTATGAGTCCTCTGGGTTCTGTATTACTTTGCTCTTGAAAAAAAAATAATTTGTTGCTAAGTTGAACAGTTTTAGCGCTCATTTCCACATTTACATGACAGAAGGAATTATTTTAACCCTGTGGTTTATGATGCATTACTAGATAAGTATTTATATTAAACTGATGTTTGAAAGAGAGTCAGTTATAATTGGAATTTGCAAGTATGTGGCAATTTATAGATCTACCTGTGTCTTACATTTTGCATCTTATCAGTGCCATAATATAGTTTGATGACTTTGTCTTATTTTTCAATGTCTAAAATTACAGCTTATTAACTATGCTGTAAATATTCAGAAATAATGAGTAAAATTTGGCTAAAAGTTAAACCTCTTTGTAGAGGGGGATATAAAGTGGAAAAAAAAGTCATAACCCATCTGAGTGGGTTAAAAAATGCTGTTTTTTAAACTGTTGGACTTCCTTTAAGAATAAGGAAACTTTTAAATGTCTAACTGTAGTTGCTAAATGAGAAGTTGGCAGTTTGCTGAGGTTTATGTGAGCATGTTGCTTGACTTAACATTTTCTCCTGTTGGGGAGGAAAAAAACCTCTCCTCTACACTCTTAAATCCAGTAGTTAGGGGCTGTGAATTAAACTGATTAGCAAGAGAAAATGTAGATTTTTATTCACATCTGTACACAAAAGTGTGACTCAACGAGGCAGAATTCAGGACTGATATGCCATCTTAATAAGGGGAGGGGAGAAAGGGCACTTAGGGGAAAACAAATGTCTTTCAGAAAGGATAAAGGGGTTCCTAGGAGAAAGAAGGGAGATATAATGGTTTTGTGACAATGTCTGCTTAGTTGTGGTACCAAAAGTCCCAGGGAGAGGATTTGTAACAGTTGAGCTCTTGGGAGAGGTTCTCCTTTTAGGCAGATAAGGGGAGTTCAGAAAAGCCTCTTCCTGCATCTGTTGACTCTCAAATGCCCTTAGCTCAAAATAATTGTTATGCCACAGTGGTGTGTTCTGGACCCCTTTATTTCCCCCATTGAAAACTTCCCAAGGTGTATCAAGGAGCAGAAGCTGAGATAGTGGCTATGGAGAAAGGATTCAGGTTAGAAGCTGGGAGGTAAGAGAGATGCAAAGGGAAAGAAGGCATAGATTTATGGAGAAAGAAAAGGAAAAAAACTAGTAGTTGAAGTGGATTATAAACTCAGTTTCTTGAGTTCAGAAAGCAGTCAGTCCAAATGATTTCTAGATGAAATGGCAGAGTCACGATGGCAGTGGCAATGTCACAGTCATGGGCATTTCCTGGAGCTCAGAGGACCATGTTCTGGTGAACTTCCTGAGTGGCCCAGACTGTTGGGATAAAGCCTTTCAGGGTCCCTTCAGCTTGCAGGGCTTTAGGAAACAGGCAGTTCTAGTTCTTAGTGGTGCCAAGTCAGGAGGATAGAAGAAAGTTGGAAAGGTCACTGACAAAATGCTCAAGATGGCAGGATTCGGCTTTCAGAGAGGTGAAAATAGCTCAAAGACAATGAACAGGACTAGAATCTGATAATCCACAATGGTGGGTTATAGTTTTACATTGAAACAAAATTTCTCTAAAATCACCCCCACTTATATCAAAGATAATTAAGGTATGACTATTTTTGTTTGCAAAACAAATCGTCTCATTAAACTTGGCCTGATTGTTTATGTAAATGTAGCAAGGATGGTAATTGACAACATAGGCCTTCTTAAGTTTGTTTTGCTGGAACTTTTATTAGGATTCTCAGATTGGACTTTT